TCAGATTACTCTTTCTAGTAATTATAATACTTAGTAATTACTTTTAAAGGCCGTTGGAAGCATCATGGCTAAAGCATCATAGTTACCTACTTTCTGCTGATTATAAAATGTCTATAATAACACACAAAAATATGTTAATTTTAAGGGCTGCTATTGTGTAAATTAATACCTTTATCAGGGCTGGTTGGTCTCACTCTTTTACTCCCAAACTTGTGGATGCCAGCTTGATCTTGAGCTCCAGAGAATGTAAGAAATAGATGTGGACCCTCATCGGTTTCTGAGAAAAAAACAAACAAAAAAACAATACGTACATAATAGGTGAGATTTAAATCTTAGATACTAACTGAGAAATATTATATAGAACAGTAGCACAGCACAAGTGAACTCCCTTAGAACCAAACCGAGAAAAACGGAACAGATGTTGAACACTTAGAGCTACTCTTAGAATCAGGAGAAGAAATGTTCCTATAATCTTTTAAATCTACCAGCATGGGGTCCACACCATGACAAAAGCAGGAACAGACCAAAAATTAAATAAAAATTATTAGAAAACTCACCAACAAAAGCAGAATGTTCATCTGCCTTTAAATCATTTCCATTTAAATTTATCCGAGTTCTGGAAATGCATGTGAGTGAGTTGTTTGACAGATCCTGTGAAAAAAAAAAACAAGGTAAAATCAACTTTGTAAAATAATGTGGTTTATATCCCTTAGGCCTGCAGTCGCTGAACAAAACAGAGGAACTGCAGTTATTTCAGTTCGGTTTTGAAGAACAGAGCATTCCTGCAAATGATTTGCTTTTTTCACCTGGATGTAAAACAACAACAGTTCTTGTTAAAACATCTGTGAATTCCTACCATTTCACAGCACCTCCTTCCATTCTTCCCACTACCGCACACAATCAGTGGCTTCCCTTCTTCCCTCTGATGGACCAAAATGATGTGGGAGTTCTAAAAATCAAAGAATTTAATAAGAACAGTGGAAAGGACAACAGATGGTATTGATGTTACTGTGATTCTCACATTGCCAGTCAATCCTTTCAAATCCACCTTCTTTTCCACCTGTGGAGAAACACAGAGGACTTTTAC